ACACAAAATACCATAAATATAACACTAATAATATACTAACTGCCAAGCTAGGACCAGCGTAAATATATGACAAATTCCTGGTCCTCACTTGTTCCGCTGTATATTTTAACATGGGCCACAAAAGCGAATTGTTAATAAATATACTCCAGAAAAGACGCCGACAGCGGCCGAATTGAGAACTACGATATACGTATTTTAACGTATAACCAACAAAACGAGACCCAATTTTTTTCTCGTAAAAAATAATTCTACAACGATTGTCAATGCCAAATAATGATTTTACACACCGGTACCAAGTGAGGACCATATATCGGTCCTCACTTGGTCGCGGTCCTCACTTCAACCGCAATTTCGCCATGAAACTGGCTCACTTGGTACTATAGACATAAATATATATATATATATATATATATATATATATATATATATATATATATATATATGTGCTCAGTTATGTGTCATATTTTTATTGCGACTACTGCGATCCCTAATCAAGAAGGGTAACATCATCGTGTCCATGAAATACATAGCAAAAGGGAAACGTGTTATTTTCAGCAATGTTCCAGAGAGTTAAATAAATCTGAAGCATTATAGCCTTAGGATGGCAAGGGCGCACTGCCGTGTTTGACAGTATTTCGTCCCAACTCGTAAACAAAATGGACAACGAGATAAAAACAGAAGAAGATAACTTGAAATAGGGCGTAAAAATGAATGACTCTTCTGAGATAAATAGAAACATAACACGAACGATCACAGAGGTGACCAAACTCTGCCTCCACGTCAAATAGTGAGTCAGAATGTATTTCGACAAGGAACAGTCTCTGACTTAACTATTAAAATGCCTATCTGAAACGTAGAGGAAGATTAGAAACGAATCAGAGAAAACTAGTTATTGAGACCTGTGTTACTAGACCTAGGGAATTTTAAGCCAGCTTAGAGAAAAAGTGATTTTTATTCAATTCTATGAAAAATCTAAGGAATTCTTAATAATATGTACGAACATTTTAAAAAATGAGTTGGATTTAATAAACTTTCCAAAATTGCACATATATCATCTTCTTGAAAATCATGTTATTCGGAGAATCACTAAATTCTGTTCACGTGATTCCCCGTTGGTGACTAGAATGGTGGTATTTCACAAATGCCGAATTACGTAGGGGATCCACCTGGGCTAAAATATCTTAATACTTTGATATTATTACCTTACAAATTCAAGAACAACAAATAATACCACTAGCACAGAATAAATATTTATAACCAAAAGTCCTTATTTATTCTACAAATAATTAAAAAACCAGTATTTCCAACTTCTTATGATAACTATACACATAAATTAGAAATGTTTGGAAAGGTTTTTAAAACTACTGCTCATTCTGACGTCAGACTTAGGTGGTCCATTCTAGGCTAAATTTGGTTGTCATGTTGTTAGGAAACTCTAGGGAAATTTTGGCAAAAATTCTAGGGAATTATAAAAAATCATCTGGCAATGATGAAAATATTAAAAGGGATAATCCGCAAAAGTTTATATGATATTGAAGGAAGTGAAGACATTGGAAGACATTGCAAAATACTTCCAGTTACTACATGGGTAGAAAAAAGAAGAATCGATATTTTACTTCATCTTCCCTCACTAGAGGTCGCTAGTAGTATACTCTGGTAATTATTTTTCCTATAATTGCCATCAAGTCTCTCTGATGACGGGTAGACCTAGAAAACACGTGTTAGAGAATGGTAAGAGACACAAATTAAATCCAAACGCAACCATCTAAATATATTATATACATATATATATATATATATATATATATATATATATAGATAATATATATATATATATATATATATATATATATATATATATATATATTTATAAGTTTTTATTTTACCGGTTCTTTACATGTGGTAATACATTGTATTTTTTTCAGTTGCTATTGTCATATTCAGACTTTTCCTTTGTGTATTAAAATAATTGCAATGTTAAATTTAAAGCATCTGTTGATTGTTTTCTGCTATCACAGTATCGCATGCATAACATAAAACATTTACCTCTGCATTTAAAATAGTAACGGGAATAGAGTCACCTTTCCTGTTTCCACTATTACTTGAATGGGTTCTGTAAATTCCCAATTACCTGCACTTTTTTTAAGTTTTTTCGGTAAATATCTTCTAACTGAATTCTAATAAAGTACTACAAAACACAGGCATGCTGGTTTACTTTTACTCGGTGGATTTTGATAATATTGGTCCCATAATAAATATATTTATTATCTGATAATATTCATCTGATAATGTTGTAAGACTATTTATTTTAAAAATCAAAAGTTGGGAAAGCGGAAGTATTTTTGAAGCGTGTAAAACATTTTACTTCCGAGCTGAGGGTTTTCGGCTTACAAAGCTATCTACGGAGCTATGCTGCAAAAGGACAATGGTGTAAATAACTAATTTTCATTTAACAATGATTCACTTACGACAAATATAAAGTATACTACTAGGAGAGATCATGTGGAAAGCAGACAATTGCTGGTTATATATTTTTTTAAACGATGAAAAAAACAAACAAAGGACTGTACACTTAGACTCCACAAAAAAACATATTAAAACATTTGGTAGGGGTGTCATAACCCGACCATTTGTACTGGAGTTGAAGCAGCTGTTAGAGTGAGCAAAATCGAATGTCAGCCATTTAAATGATTTTTTAAAGATGATAATTTCCATATGTCATTAGAAAATTAGGATTTTTTTAAAAATTATAAAAAAATTGTTGAATTTAAAAACAAAGCGAAAGAAGACATATCAAAGACTCTACAAAATTGAGTTATTTTATAAAAATTGCTTTTCACAGCATCCTAATGACTAATTACTATTAAACTGGGAATAAGCCACAATTAAAGATAAAAATACGTTTATTGACGTTTCAATTTCTACTTCGGAAATCGTTCTCAAAATACAAACAGTAAATTAAACAAATTTTGTTTTTGTTACATAGTGAAAAAATTCTTCTAATAATTTAATTTTATCTGACTCATTTATATTGACAATTCAGACATACATTATGCATTTTAAAGTAGACGACTTTAAAATGATATTGCCAATATTGTTGAGTTGCGCTCCTGGGACGACTTTACTTATAAGATAGTTCATTCGATTACATGAAATCAACTTTAACTTGAGAATATCCGCCAGAAAAAATCATAGCATGTAATTCGTCTTTAAAAAGACAAACACATGACATGATGACAGTAAAATTCTCCTGTTAGTGATTCCATAGTAAATTATGAGGGAAAATCAGGAAAAAAAACCTCATAATACTATCCCGACATTGTAAGTATTTGTTCGTGAATTTAGTTTACCTTCAACAAACATCAAAATTCTGATTTTATATGTTACGTTATTTAAAAAACATAAATGATGTATCCTCTATATGTTACTGACTTACTAATACTGGTATTTTCTTATTAATAACTTCCTCTTTCAATATTGGTAACCAGATCCTACTACATTCTGCCGAGGAATTTGCGACACAATTGGCCTCATTTAGCATAATTAGAGGCGCTTCTTTGATTTTTCTTTTTTTACCATCCGTTTATTTTAGGACTACATTTGAATTACTTCATTGAACCCTATGTTCATTATCCCATGCGTGTTTACAGATTTGAGATCTATCAAATTCCTTATTTTTAATATAAGATTGATGTTCACTTATTCTAACATTTAATGGCCTTGATGATTCACCTAAATAAAACTGATCGCATTCACAAGGTATTTTATAAATGCAATTCTTTGTCCTTTCTTGTTCATTGTTAGGTTTGGTTTTGGACAAAATAGATCTCAACGTGTTTGTTGTTTTGAATGTTGTTGAAATGTTGAATTTATTTCCTATCTTTTAAGTTTTTCTGATAGTCCTTTTATGTACGGTATTGTTATTTTCCTCATATTATTCCTTGTGTATGCTGTAGGATCTCGTTCTAAGTTGTTCTATTTTTACATTAATATTGTGATTTGATTTGAAATTTAAATATCTATTGGTGTGTGTTGGTTTTCTATACACCTGAGTCTCATATCCAGTATCGTTCTTAGAGATTAAAACATCCAGGAAAGGTAGCGTGTTAATATTTTTATTATATTAACAATAAACAATTAAACTTATTCCCAGTTTAATAGTAATTAATTTACAATGCCACAAGAAAATAGCTTCAGAACAATCCTAATGACTATGTTGAAAATTGACTGACGGTCAAAGTAGGTTCAATCAACAAGTTATCCCTAAAACAAATTATTTAGATATAAAGAAGAAACTATATTGTGATGTTTCTCAGTATGATACTTGAGTGATTTTAAAAAAACTTTGTATCTCTTGATTGGAATTATGAAAATTTTATGTAAAAATCGAAAATTTTTCTTGTTTCATTGAAGAATAACCTGTCACATGATTGATTACTAGTAATCAATCAATAATTATTTGTAATCAATCATGTGATAAGTTATTCTTCATCGAAAGGAGCAAAATTTCCAATTTTTACTTAAAATTCTAATAATTTCATTGTCGTAAGTGTGTAAAAACATAATATCAGTCTTTGCATCTACTTATTTTAGTTAGTTAACACTTTTTGGCCAATTTCAGAATTGTATTTATAAGATTAATGCTTCTATAATTAAAATAATTCTACTTACCTCGTTTCTTAAACATAGGCACGGGTACACTTAACCTCGAGCTATTTGGGATACTATTATATTCAAGTACCTATCTTTTACAGCAATTTTATAATCTGGTCCTGGAGACTTTATGTTGCTTTACCGATTAACTGATTTCTTCGGTATTAATTCCTATGTAGGTATTCATTCAACTGGATATTCGATGTTAATGCTTGCGTATTGCAAACCTGTTATACATTCTGAGCATAACGTTGTACTTATATGTTTACTTATAACTATCTATTGATGTATATAACATTACGTATATTTATATTGCTATATTATATATTGTGTTATTTTTGTTTTAGAATGGATTGTTATCCGCTGCAACGTATTTGGCCTGTTTTTTGTTGCTGATTGGATTTGGTTCTACAGCAGACTCGATTATTAACAGCAAAATAACAACAAATAATAACTGTTCTAACAACCAGAAAAATATTCACAGCAGTAGGTAAATAAAAGAAAATAAATTAGCCAGTATACAACAACGAACTTTGTTCCGCTAACTTGTACCATTTGTATTTCGATATTGTTTTTTCATATTTCGTCGTATTATAAACATATAACCAATTAAAATATGTATATTTAAAGTTTTTTTTTTATATATTTTAGGCCGTTTTATTTCCGCGGCTGCATTACTAGTACAAAGTTATTTACCAGATGATACTATAGTTTGGTCAGTTATAATGTTAGTGACAGCTGTAGGAGTACAAGCTGCCGCGGTTGGAGGATTTGAAGTAAATCATCTTGATCTATCCCCTAATTACGCTGGTATAATTTTGGGCATTTGTAATACATTTGGAGAAACTTTATCAATATTTGGTCTAACTGCTATTCATCTCATCGTTACTGAAGAAGTAAGTAAAAAATAAATGATAAAATGTTTATTTTAACGATACATTGAATACGTCTGAAATCTCATTACCTGTACCATAAAACATCAGACAGAGGAAGGTTACTTTGAAATGCAAGGCTTCTTCTTTATGTTATTATATCCTCCTCTAAGGTTGCAATATTCATACAAAAAACGACATTGGCCACCAAAAAAATTAATAAAACGCTAACACAAGGCACAAGCGACAAAAATTACTAATAAAACCTAAAAACGGACAAGAGGGGCCACATACTTGAGCGTCGAGTCACCGAACTGGACGTAGCCCAAAGAGAGGACTCAAGGCCCGAGCAAGCAATGCAGATCGATGATAAGTTAACAGAGATCGCGTGAATAGAGCGCCTTACGCTGGCCTGCATTGTTCCGGGTAGAATTTCGTGTGGAAAGCCTTGTAGCCAGAACTCCCACATGACAAATAATTTACTAATATGAGATCCTTTATAGCGCATCAAAGTGCTATATGGGGGAAAGTAGATGGTCTGAAGCATTAAAGCGGTTTAGTTTTATTTATATATTTCGATAAAATAAATGTCATAGACAAATCTGTAGAATTCATTTGTTAAGTGTACGCTGGTATTAAAACAATTTTGAAAGATATAGAGGAACTATCGTGGATATATAATAAGTTATAGGGTGACGCCTATAATTTTTCACGATATTGGCCTTGTGCGTGCCGAAAAGATAAAAGAAGTTTAATTCAAAGGTACTGACGATATGTTTGTATAATCGCGTAAAACTTTATAATTGCAATTTTATGATAAACTAATTGTTTAAGAGTTTAAGCTCTAATAAATAGTTTAAAAAAATAAATTTCGGCATTCCCAAATTTGAGTGGCGCAGTCAGTAGTCACACTAAATGGCGACCTTAATTCCTGTGAGTGAATTGAGTAGCTCCGTATAACAGGAATCGTAACTTTTCGAATGAATATCGAAGATTTAGGATTCAAATAATATTTATTTTCATTAAGTATTTGTCCAACTATAGTGAGACGTTTTTTTTTGGAAACTATTAAATATAGGAATCAATTATATTGATTGAGATAGTATACCTGCCCCAAGAGAATATTTTTGGGGGCAGGTATACTATCTTGCAAATGTATGACAATAAGCTGTACCCTTTTTCTACTGATAACATATAGTGAACAAAAAGCTTTTCTGCACATTCGTCGCTCTGTTGTGCCAATTTTACTATTGTATACACAAGAGCATGTTCGTTTTAATCCTCCACTAGACTTAGACCTTCGTCTTTCAACAATTTTAACATATATCTCTCCCCCAATAAAAATGTCTTGCTTTTCTTGCCGATATCATTAAAAACTGTCAGAAAGTCAAGTTCATCACGGTCATCAAATTTTTTAAAACATTTAAATTTACAATAGCAGTCACTGCCCGTGTTTCTTTCTTTTTTAACACACTTTTTTTATTTTTAAAACCTATATAAGGCTTTCCTTCAGCTCTCATTTGCTTGGCCACGTTTCTTTTTCATGCACTCTCATCTCTACCTCGTTTCTTGATTACCTTTTTGCCAGTTTTGCCTGCTGCTTGTGAAACATCATCACTTTCAGTCACTCTTAATTAGTGATGATACTTCAGCACTTAAAGTAAAAAAATAAAAAAAAGGTGACTCCGACAGAGAAACAGAATTGATCTTAGAATAACAACACAGAATAATAATCAATATTAATTTAGTTTAAATCTCGTATTGTTATGTTTCGAATATAAATAATATAAGTATAAGAATAACAACATAGATATTTAATAATCATTAATTTGTAACTTTTACAGTGTAGTTTAAATATCTTATTGTTATCACTCAGTATTGAATATAAGTTTTAAAATACTATTAAATAAATGTAATTTTCTTTACAATAAAATAGATGCCTCGAAGAGAAATTTGTGCTGCTAATTTTACACGCATTTTTTGAAAATTATTAGGATTTATATGAACGTCTGTTATTTTCACCATGCATCGTGCTCTTACATTGGTTCTATTGATATTGTATGTGTATTCAATATCTTGCCACGATATTTGTTTAGAATCGGCAAAAAACGTCAACTTTTTGTTAAGAAAATTATTTCTTAGACTTTTTAATAAGTGTGGTATATCAAACACAGTGAAAACACTTTTGGTATATACACAATATTTTGTAATTTTGAAACAACTTCAACTACAATGTTTTTTAAGTAGTCGCTATGTATTGGACCACCTGTAACAACATAACAAATCGGAATCTTCCAGTTATGTAGCAAGCCGCGCATCATGAAAACCAGACCTGTGTTGGCAAGTTTGTTTGTTCTTCCCAAAGCACCTAAATCTTGAAACCCTTCTATAATGTCATCTAATTTATTGTACTCCAATTGTTTTTTCAAAGAAATTTCATCAAACATTAACACACACATTTTTTCCCACTCATCCATTGTCTCTGCTTTTTTCTTCAACTTGTCAATTAAGGAAGTGTTTAAACCAGTTCTTAATTTTATGACAAGCAACCAAGTTTGAATTGTTTTTACTGAAGGTAATATAAAGTTAAGAGATCTAATTAAAAATTTAAACAACTGGGAGACTTATAATAAATGGCCAGAGCTAAATCCTTTTCATTGTGACTCCATTGTAAACGAGTTTTGTGTAAAAACTGCATATTAACAAAAGTGTGCACGTATTTGCTTTTATTTTCTAACAGTACTTGTAACATAAATTTTGTTGCTGATTTTCTGTTTTTTGTTGTTCTTCTACAGCGCTGACTGTTCTTCTGACGGCACTTCTTCTTTAAAGCATTTACTTGATACTCCAATTTCTTTACCTTCCCCGTCAATTCAGTTTCAAGTTTTGTGGGCAGATGAATTTTAAAACTGGAAATATCACTGAGACTACTACTTGATCTCTTAGGCGATGGAGTTGACCTAACCATACAATCGCCACTTGTAGATCTTGTACGGTTCGTACCGCAATAAACGTATGTAGAGCATACTGGTGGGGTATCACCTAAAATAGGTAATCATTGAAATGTATGTGTAATTTTAATTAAAGCAAAACAAGCATCTCCATTATATCATTTTACATATAAAAAAGCTCAAAAAGTCATTCAAGATTTACCCCACAGCGTTGCCAAAACATCAGAATAGTTAGTAAGTGAGGAATTTTTAAAATGTCAACTATTTGTCAAACTATTATATTAACAGTAAATATACTTAGTTTTAAGACTACTGCAACACATTAAAATACATACGAAACCATTTTAATACAAAATTATATATTCTAAATTTTAAACTTACCTCTTTTAGGGATTTAATAGTAAAAACGTCCCACCGTTATGTTTTGTTTAAAATAATCTATCTTATATGAAAGATTATCAGCTTTCTACAGACTATTTATTTGTTTTGGCATATCACAATCACAATACACAACAATAATTAGTTTTTAAAGCTATTAATATATATTTAATATGTATTTATAAATACAATTTACTAATATATGTTATATTATGATCAAATTGTGTAAGAAATCAAAACATAACCAAAATTCCTACTCTAAAAAGCGGCAACACTTTATACACTTTTGCTACACGCTGAACTGTCAATAAAATTTGAAGTATTTCCGTATAAGTTGCGTACAATAATTGTCTAATATATTTAATTAAAATTATTATTTCATAAAATTTATATTATTAATAATAACAAATGTTTTTGGTTATTTTATTAATATAATTCTAAAATTTCCAATACAATGATGATTACATTTTTTTGATTATTACACCATGTTGACGCCTATGAAAAATTGAGCAGTTCCGTATGGGTTTCTTATTATTAGCTGTGGTATTAAAATTTGAACTCTAGGGTTGATGTTCTGGAAATTTTAAATACAAGTGACATCACTTTGTATAAATCGTGACGTGCAAGTGTTTTACTTAGAAAAATGGTAAATTTCTGAAGTGATACTAACAACTCATTCATATTAAAAAAAAATCTCTTTTGATTTAATTGTATAAATATATATATATATATATATATATATATATATTATATATATATATATATATATTATATATATATATATATATAAATCACTCAATGTCAAGTGATTTTATATAACATATATTTTAATAGTATTATTGTCATTGACAAAGCGCAATAGCAAACATAAAAATATTTCTAAAGTTGAATACTCACCTAAATCAGTTGGTAACTGTAAGTTTTAGAGGAAGAGCATTTTTCCTTAATAACTTTCTTTGGGCACTTTGGTAAATCTGTTCCACTACAAAATGATGCTGGCAAATTACCCTCTGTTTTAGGTCACTGATATCTATCAATATTCCCGCAGTTTTTTTGCCAAATTTTTGTGCGCTCTACATCTTTCAAAGAAAGATATTTGTTCCATCGTTTCTTTCAAAACATCGCGCGTAAACACATTTATGCGTTACACAGGCCATTTTATCTAAAATGTGAGTCCTTTTTTTTATAAAATTTCGCTATAACTTGTCACAACACTTGACACAGATAATACACTTATAGGGTAAGTTCGGTCCTGAAACCACTCCTATCTCCTCGCAAGTCAGAGAGAGAATGAGAATCTCGATACGGTTTTCGAGCAACGCCATCTAGTTTTTGATACGTCTTTCGGTTACCACGAGGTGAGCGATCTAGGTAGTGGTTTATAATCAATGGTAAAATGTTGAGTCAAGCGTGACAGAACTAGTGCCACAAAAAGTCGTCACGGGTAGCGTCACAAAATAACGATACTTTACATCGATTTACTATCCTCGATCAATTTGCTTCTAGGCATAATATATTTATTCTAAGCAGATTTAAATTAAAAAGTATATGAAAAGTAACTAACATAGTACAAATATTAAATGAAAACTAAAAATTTAAATGTATATTTGTCAATAAAAGATTGGATTCGTAAAGTCTGCAAAAATTTAAAAGTCATAAATATTATTCAAATAATAGCATTATTGAATCATATGTATTAATTTTTATGGC